CTGGCTGAAAGGTAAACGTGGATTTAATTCCCAGGAAGCTTCTGCTGGTGGTGCACGTGAGTTAACGGGGGGGCGGGGGGAACCCAACTCCTAGTGCTCATTAGCAAACAGTATGGTTGAGGGGCTGCTCTTTAAATTTACAATTCTATATTGCATCCCATCCTTGCAACTGCAATGACTCCTGTACCAGTAAAGTGCTGGATTGGCACTGAAATGGGTTAGTGTTAGCTGATGTCACCTCAGACTCGGGTACCACCGAACACCCTGATTCTGCAAATGCTGAGATCTAGCTTCTTGATGCTGAATAGTCCCTTTGACTTCCATGACAGTCTGGATTTTAGGCAGATACAATTTGGCTGGTGATATGCTGAGACCATTCTCTACAATGCTGACCCCTACTAGCTTATTGTGAGTTTGTACTCCCTAGTTTCTGTTTCCATCTATTGTCTCTTGTCTTGAATTTTTTTTGAGGCGGTGAGAATCTCTGTCTTAGCTGAATTATCACTAGGAGAGTGAGGACTTTGACCATCTTCCAGACATGATGATAATAGATAGTATGTGAGGATCTGGAAATGATTGTGGCTATGCACTTGGAACCTATTCAGTTTCCTATATGATATATATGACTCATTGTCATGGTTATGGCTTTCTGCAGTGGTAAATAATTTACATTGGCAAACATGTTCTATTGGCTTGAATGGACAAACATTTGGGTCTAGCATCAAGGAAATAAGTTGACTTGCATAGTTTGTTTTTTGGCTTCTACAAAACATGAGGGTTAATTTTCACTTTTTAAATGACCAGGGTCCATGTGGCATGTCTGCCATACATATGACTGTTGAAAAAGATGATTAACATCCTGTGCCAGATCATCTGGTATAAATCAGCTCTTACATGAGCTGATTATTTGGTTCCAAGTCTCATCTCTTGGTTTTCCTTGTAGTCTGTTTCTGTGTAGTTCAAGATGCATTTGGAATCTCACTCACCCTGCATGCACCTTCCCCTTTTTTAGCATACATGCATAACAGCAGGTATATTTAGAACAACAGCAACCAAAAAATCCTCAACAACAAGGCATTCCATTGAGCCCATTGCTCATACTGGGAGGAGGATGACAAAACAAACAACACATGAGAAGGCTGAGTCATAGGATTTCGTGCAGTCTTTGAAGTGCACTGTGCTCCTCCTCCCTGTAGTGAGAGCAAAAACAACTGAAAAGCAACCATGCAAGTTGAAGCAAAACTGTGAAAAGCATAATAGTGAAGCATTAGATGCATGAAATGGCTTAGGGCAATTCTTTTTCTATCCTTGCTCATGCTGAGTAACCCCACTACATACCACGTGGCAACTGATTTGGTTGGAGCGGGTATTTGTTTTTTGTACTCCATCTTCTTCCAGTGGTCCAGCTCAGACAGACGGGGCCTAATTCTCAGAGGTGCTGAACACCCAAATGCAGTATAGATGCAAAATGTCAGCACCTTTGGAAAATTGGAACCTTCTAATAGATGCATGTTGAAACTCTCCAGAATTGAGGTTTATCATTACCAGGTACTTCTGAATACTTAAGCCAAAAATACCTCTCCTGAGAACTGTCATCGCCCAGATGGGGAAATGCCTTTGAGTCTCTGCCATGCAAAAAGACAAGAATGAAACCAATGTTCTAAAATACCATGTGTCTAATTTTTATACTTCGATGGTAATGAACTCCAAGGAATGACTGTACTGGGTTAGACCCAAGGTCCCTCTGGCCCAAATGCCTGTCTCCAATAAGAAACGGGTGCTTTAGTGGAACTAAATGACCATACATCTCTGCAGGCATAAATATTGTATACTAATAAACATGAGAATGACAAGTCTGTACAGAATAAAGAAAATATATCTAGCATGAGAGACCTGGCCATAATGATAAACTATCCATAGCTTTATGGAACCAAAGGCTTAAATCTTTTTTATGCTGGTGGGGATGGTGGGACTTGCATTCACAATAGTTACAAAATTTTAAGAGTGGAGGTAATGTACAGTGAGCTTTACTACACTACATCCTTTTCAGGGGGTAATCAGCTTAGCTGCATAGACTTTGACACACTGCCTGTTTTGTGGTAGCTGAGTATCTGGTGTTTCATCTCTTAAACTGCAAGCAATAGATTATAAGGACAGACTGTTAGACACTGGGGCTTCCCCATTCTGTCTATTTTCCCTAATATAACGTAGCGAAACATATAGTATAACCTAAAGAAACAAACCCCCCCAAGGTAATCCATGCCCTATGCTGCTATCCTGGAAGAGAGTTGGACAGCAGACACCACATGACTTTAGCCATGCTGCTTAATACGCTGTGGGAAGGCACTCAGGTGCAATGGTGATGAGCACAGTACTGGAGGTTATGAGAACTGAAACCCTGGTAAAAACCATGTCGGAAGAACTAAAATGAATGTGTTCAGGTACAGTTCTCGTTTGCTGAATGTTGTCTGGGCCTTAGGCTACAGGGTCTCCCATTCATTAGGTATAGCACAGCAATGGCAGGGGCACCCGTCATGGAGTGGAACCTCCATTCTGTGGCATGCTGTACCAGCACAAAACAAATGTGTTTTCTTGCTTGACCCAGCTCAATAGACGGAGTTAAGGAGGGTGCATTGGACATTACCAGGATTTTTCCAGGTGCTTAAAGGAATTAAGCACCAGCACCCAAATGGTATCTCAAGCACCCTTTGGCTCCTTTGCAAAATCACTGCCCTTATGTTAATAGGAGACAAATGTATGCTCAGAATACATCGGGGAATGGGCAAAATACAGCCCATGGGCTGGATCTGGCCTGCCAAGGGATTTTATCCAGCTAATGGTGGGTTCCTTGGACCTGCCCAGCCCAGCCCAGGTGTGGGGAGTGGGGGGTGGCCAGTCCTGCTGCCCCAGAAGCATAGCAGAGCTAGGGCGGCATGGCAGCTAGACTCACTTCTCAGCAGCCCCTGCAATGGTGGCTCCTTCCAGCTGCTGCTGCCAGTCTCTGCTGCTGCTGGCCTCACTGCCTGGGCCCCTGGCCTGTCTGCCCCACACCCACTGCTGGGGCCACCAAATAGAGCAGGTGGGGGAAGTCTCCATGGAGACTAGCCCAGGACCCGCACAGGGAGGGTGCACTCAGCCAGGGGATGGGGTCACAGGCTAGTGGGGCAGGGTCTGGGCCAGAACTGGGATTGTGGGGGTGGTGACTGCATGGGGCTCTCTGTATGTTCCTGTGACAGGTGCCAGTTCCATGGGCAGGGACATGAGGGGAGTGGATCTGGCTCTGCCCTGGCCCTGCACTGTCATGGCCCTGCAATCCCAATCCCAGAACTTTTGCTGGGTAAGGGGTGGCAGATACTAATCCGATCTGGGGGGTGAGGTGTTGACTTATCCCAAGACAGGTCACCAAAACTCTCTAAGTGGCCCTCCAGCCTGCATAATTGCCTACCCCTGAAATAAATCATTCTGGCTTCTGCAGTCTTCAATCTTTGTGCATGCCCAAATGCAGTAGGCACTTGCTATAATCCTTTAACCCTGTTGAAGGTTAAGGTGTTATTTGTTCAGTTCAATTTGGACTCTAGCCACTGTCTGGAGGATGAATGGAAGCCATTCTAGCAGAAATATTGGTGAGCTGTCACCTCCTGCTCCCTCAAAGAAAGGAACTAGTAAAAACGATTCTTTATTTTCACTATCCCCTGAAAATACTATCCCCACTAATCTAAATTACTGCTGGGTAGATGCAAGTAGGAGAGGGGATAACAGTTAATTTATTCCCAGGACACTTCTTTTTTTTCCCCAATTCTTCAAGACCTCTTTTCTATTGCAGATTGCCATCTGTGCAAGGATCTTCATCTGTTAACAAGTCACCGTGGCAATGGTGAGTGTTTGTTGTCTGCTACTGAGCTGAGGGCCAACGTTGATTAGATTAATGGAGCCAGTGTGAATAATATTTAATTAAACCCATGGTGTAGTAGCAAAATTATAAAAGGGTATATGGTTGCTAGAGTAAGGATCATCTTACATCGGTGATAGATGTATCTGTTACAATCCTGATATTGCACTACATGAAATATGTAAAGAGTTGACTTTCACCAAAACAGAAGCAGGGCTTTGTAACTCAAAGGAAAGGGTACTAAGCAGTGAATTCATAGGAAAGGGTACTAGGATGGAACCAGGAGAAAGTGGTTCTGATATCTATCGTACTCCTAAGTGGCTTCCTTGATCAATTAACTGCAGTACTTCAGGCAGCAGCTTTTTCTTATCTGTGAAATGACAATGATGCTCTTGGGCCACTGGTTTAAGTGCCACAGAAGAACCTGTCTTTGGGGATACTGCTTCCATGGTTACCCAGAAAAAGATTGGTCACCGAAGAGGGAGTAACATTTGGGTTCCACATAGGTGCCTGGATACCAGTTGTGGAGAATGAATTCCTTTACTTCATTATTGCAGTGCAGGCAGGAGCCAGTCATATTTCCCCCTTCACCATGCCAGTGTATGTGCCTTTATTCTCAGCTGGAAAATAAATGTATTTGCCTTCCAGTCCATTACTTCAAGCCTTGGTGGGAAGAACTGCATTGAACTGGGATTTTTTTCTACTCTTCTATTGTCTGTCTTTAACAGATATAATGTAATTTTTTTTTTAGGCTGAATGCCAGAACACAACCAAAGCAGAATCTAACTTCAATTCTTATTATAATGCTGCAGAGGATGCATATAGACTCAGGAAAGCCATGAAGGGATGTGGTGAGCTTGTTATTTTTTTTGTCCTGGCTCAAATCCTTCTCTTTTTCTCAGAGCTCTAGGGTTCCTGCTGCTCCATAGAACCAAAATTTAGCACCTTGTAATCTTCTCTCCTGGTTACAAAGCTATTTACAAATAAATGTTAGGGGTCACTTCATTATTCCAAGAAATGCATAATTCTCTGGAATGCAACATGACAGCTGTTACACACGGTATAATGGAAGGCAGCTTAGGCACAAGTGAAGAACAACATCCAAAGTGGGTCCTGAAAAATTCATTTCTGAAGTAGGGGATACAAAAGGAATAAGCCCCTTTGTAAGCCCTGTTGCAGAAGACATGAATGTAGAGAAGCTTTAGCTCAAGCATATGCCCTCAGTATTGGAAATCCTCACTTGATTTCCTTGTGTTTGCCAGCTGTCAGCCCATCACATGCTTTAGGTCGAGTTTCCTAGTGCCAGGGAAAACCAGGTTTTGGAAGGTGTGTAAACTGGTTTGTCAGGCTCAATGAGTTAGCAGTGGCCTTTTGTTTCCAGTGTTAACCTCCTGGGTCGGCCTTTCTTATATCTCCCCCAGGTACAGATGAGGATGCCATCATCGATATCCTGACCAGCAGAAACTTGTGCCAGCGCCTTGAAATTGCAAAAACCTATAAAACTACTTTTGGCCGGGTATGTGGCCTCTAACTTTGATTATGCCTTGTAGACCTTTCCTGGACTACATAATTCGGGTTGACTATTAATACCAAGTACAGAAGTTGATGTGCACTTCTGTTGGCCTTACAGAAAGCTTACTGTAATGTTTGTTCCCGTGCTGCTTTGCAGCCAAGAAAAGTTGGAGAATAGCTGATCTCCATTATTCACCTGAAATCTGGCTAAGCAATCTATATGTATGCCTGCCTTGATTTACTGCCTATGTGAGCTACTTAATACCCCATGCCAATGAGTTGATAAAACTAACCCAAGAAAAGATTAGCTTCCCTTTGACACGAAGTACACCCAATTTCAAAGAACCCTGCTGTGACCCTGTGAGAGATGCATCTAGCTATCCTTTCAGAATCCATAAGCTATGATTGCCATTTCATTAGCATCTCTTCTACCATACAATTTCTATATACACAAAAAGGCTCAGACTTTTAAAAGTATTTAGGCACCAACTTCCACTCAAATCAGGTTTTCTCCCCTGATCCTTTAAAAAATCTAGGTGGAAAACTTTGCTAGGTTTAAGGCTCTTTGTCAATTCTTAAAGCCTACACTATCATGTTTCCATTAACTTGGAGTAATTTTTTTTTCCTTTTTTGGGTGCTTGGGTTCAATTACTAAGGCACATTAAATAATAGCAAAACTGGAATGAAGAAGTTTCTAGTACCCAGCAGCTATGTAAATCAGGCACTGGAGGTGAAGCAGGGCACCCAAAAATGGAGGCAGTTGAAATTAATGGATGCTTTTGACCTTTTGATGCATATCCATGGCCAGAGAAGCTGATGATGGAACAATTAAGCTAATGGTACATGATCCTGAAGAAGGAAGTATACAACAACTTCTCTGCTGTGGGAATGCTAAAGAGGAGTTAAGCAGGAAGTCTTTGAAGTAGCCAGGCTGGCATTCGGCTGGGCATCATATGTAAGATGTGGCCATTTTGCTCTGATGGGTAATGCTTTTCTCTTCTACATCCAACCCTGGCTTTCTAGGACTTGATTGATGATCTCAAGTGTGAGCTGTGCGGAGACTTTAGGAGAGTGATTATTGCAATGATGATGCCTACAGCAGTGTATGATGCACAAGAACTGAGAAGGGCTATGAAGGTTTGTAAATCATGTGTTGCCAAATGCTTAGGTAGGTTATGATATAATTTAAGGAAAACTCGCTTCACAACTACCCCTCAGGGAAGGAGGAGTGCTGTGTGCTACAGACTCCAAAGTCGCTCTAATCTAATGAATCCCTTGATATCAAGGGGATGAGAGCTGGAAGAGAATTCATGCATTTGAACCTGCAAACCCTTTTCATGCCTTCTAGTCTAATGAAATTTGTATTCTAATGCATGATAAGATGACAGATGGCCTGGGAGGTGGGAGAGCATTACATAGGTGAAAGTTACCATATATTTCACACTGCAAGGTCATTTCATAGTTCTCTAATCTGTTACCTTATGTAAAACTGGATTTTTTTGCTGAAGGAGCTACATGGTCTATTCATTATAAATATAGTATCAACATAGCAATTTGCATTTCCAAAGAGGTCTATGTAGAACCATCACATCCATTCCAAAAAGTAGCTGACCTATTACTCCTATTTAGCAGAAAGAAACCAGGGCAGTGAGGTCAGACAATTTGCCAAGAGTCACTGAGAGGGAGTGCTCCTCAGAACCTAAACCTGTTGCATGATCTTGTGCTAGAGCCAGTCTTTCTGTTGGCTAGTTGCTTTATCATTGTGTTTCTCTGTCATGTGTTTAGGGCTTAGGAACAGATGAGTGCTGCCTGATTGAAATTCTGGCTTCACGTTCTAATGAAGAAATCCAGTGCATTAATGAAAGCTACAGATGTTGTATGTAATATAATTTATGAGTGGTTTTTAATGTTAGTACATTGGTGGTAGTCTATTTTGTTGGGGAGGGGAGGGTTGATTGAGGGGTAGTTTGTGGGGAAAGTATGTAGGGGATTCTGATTTTTTAAGCCCTGGTTTAAAAAACCAAACAAAAAACCGTACTTAAGTGTATGCTTAAGTTTAGAAGTGAAGCCTTCTAAACACCATGTCACCACAAGTTGGTCCTAATGCCAATTTACTGATTGAAGTAAACTGGAATGGGAAAAAGGACAGGCAAGACTGTGGGGGTTGTTCGTTTGGAGGTGAGGAAGGGCT